CTGCAAGAGGTGCACATTTCGAACAAAATCTTCATTAAAAAGTTTATAAATAAAATAATTAAAATAATAAATTAAATATATTTTTTTCTTTTTTCGTGATTTCCTGCGAAACAAAGCAAAAAGGAGCATATGTCTATAGGACTTTTTTTCTTAGTTTTTTACTCCTCTACACGCTCCCGAAGTTTTGCCATTTAATTTGGAAACACCCTGTATAATCCCGCTATAATGTAAGTATATTACCGAGAGAATTGATCGAAACATAATTGTGCCCGATGGCTCTATTTTCTGATGAATTTACTATCAAACTATCAAATTTTTGATAATCGATTATTGTACGTACATACAATTGATCTGCCAATGTTATGCACAGTGATTAGCTTGATTTTTAATGCAAATTTATTTAGATACTAAACTATAATACTACTAAACAATTTTTCCTCAAGTTCGCGATCATATGATGAACGAACATAGAAAGAACAATTTAACAAAAGTATCTAAAAATTTAGCTAGATACAGATCTGAAAATAATTTTGTTGTATTAAAACTACAAAATAATTATGTAGAACGCTCGAATAATGCTAGAAATAATTTTGACGTTCAATCGGCTTGAGGGTTTTTTGTTATTTTCATAATTATTTTGATAGGGTAACAAAATTATTTTCAGATCTGTTTCCAGCTAAATTTTCAGATATTTTAGCAAAATCATTCTTTAATAATAGAACCATAGATAATAATTAAAATGTATACAAACCAGATAAAAATTTGAAATTTAATTATCTTTTTATGTTATTATCGCAACATATAATACATTTACATTACTCCTAAAATTACAAGTAAAATTAATTTACTTGTTATTTAAACTGTAAAGTTTTCAGTTGGACATATGTTTACAGCTGAAGAAATAAAATGAAATTAAGATACACGCACAAACTTTGTACCAAGAAGGAAAGAAAAAGACTTTATACATATATGTATATATATATATAATTGTATATATAAAAAAGAGGAACAAACCTATCACGTTTCTATTATTATTGCCAGGGAATTTTTTAGCAGTCTTCAATTTGCATGAGACTGAAAAGGTAAGGGAAACATTTCATACGATGTTTCCGCCTTTTCGAATCTCCAATGTCCGATTTTTACGATGTTGCGCGTTAAATTTCACATGGGAATAAGAAAGATCGCTATGTATTATAATAAACGAGGTCAGAAAGTATCCGTCGTTGTAAATATCGCCGGGACGATAGGTCTGTGGGGATTGCATTGCGGGATTGTTAAAGATGACTATTTGCCTGCGTAGGATTCGTAGTCAGAAAACTGTCAAAATTCTTCATGCGCCTGAGTTCATGAATTCCGAACCCAAGGTGGTCAGCCAACCGAAGAAAAAACTGATTCCATGATCGTATTTATCGATGCATATTCTGTATGATATCTAGTACCTAAAATCTTGCAGATTACCTTTTGTCCAAAAGTAATAAATTTTAGATTTTTTGGCTAAGAAAACTGATGTTTCTTTGATACTGATTGGTGAAAATAATTATTTTTTGCAAGTTCTTAATTTTTAACATTATAATTTATTTATGATAACAAATATATTACATATAAATATATTATAATTTTTTATATCATAACAAACATATCACATATATTTGTTAAAATATATGTCAAACATTAACAAAATATATATTTTAAAGATATCAAAAGATTTGAATCTTGTCGTTCATTTCATCAGGGCGAGGAGCGCACTGATACTGACCATACCAGGATCATATCAGCATCAGTGCGCTCCTCGCTCTGCTGAAGTGAACGACAAGGTTCAAATCTTCTGGTATCTTTGAAATATATATTTTGTTAATGTTTGACATATATTTTAACAAACTCATGAAAATATGAGTGATAAAACATTCATGAAATGTTGGCCTTAGCAATGGATGAAAACATGGCGATAACCCGCACAAACCTTCTGATATCTTTGAAAATGAAGATAATACCCGTAAAAGCTTAAAAAGCGTTATCAAAACATATATTTTATATTATTTGAAATTGAATAAGAAATACATATATAAAATTAGAAATAATATAAAGTTTCTATTTAATTTATTTTCTTGAAAGACTTCTTGACATTCATTTCCAATCTCTTAAATGTCTTTAAAAATATAACGGATTGTTATTTTTCTCAGGGGAAGATCAATTAATTAAGAAATCTATAGATTATGAATATCATAGTGTACTATATTATATGAAAATTCTAATAAAGTAAATGAATAAGTTATGTTAATTAGCAATTGTATCTTTTTATTTGTAAATCAAATATTACATTTATTATAACGAATTTAAATATTATATAACATAAAAAATGTAATGTATACAATTATATAATATTATATAATACAAATATTGTATTAATTATTTAATATTGTTTAATCGTTTAATCGACGATAAACTCTCTTCTAATATTTCAAAATCCCATTGCAGGTGTCTTTTCGAATCGAATTCGTCGAAGTTTCGAGATGTTTTTACTATGACAACTTTACTACGACTACTTGCATAACAAATTCTCTTCAATTGCGTCTTTTAATTAAGACGCAGTCGGGGGTTACAACCGAACATTGACGCGGTATGCAAGCAACTACAGCTATCCAATTTAGGCTTGAATGCGCGCAGAAATTTGATCGCGTGAAAAGTCGCTCCAAGAAACTTCTTTTCACTTCGGCTGACATAATCAATCTAAATTTTACCTAATCGAATAAACTGTATTCATTATCTGAAATTACAATGTTATTGTTAACTGCTTTCTAGAAGAACATCATTAAAATTGCCTTAGAAGAATATAATATATGTTGACATTTTCAAAATGAAAAAAGATAAAAAATAAAATATAAATAACAAAAGGAAAAGCATGCGTATGAGCACGTAACAAAATCCTCAGCAACAAAAATAACATTTACATCACAGTAGTCACAGATAAATTATGATGTCGCTGTGAGATTATTAAAAGATTACAGATTAAAACATCACATTGTTGTTTTAATCTGTGTATGTCATAGCAATGTTACTATAAGATGTAATTTTTATTACAACTTCATAATAATATTATAGCGATATCACATCTGTGACAAAGCTGACATACTCATGTCACCATGACTTTATTGTGACTCTTTTTGTTGTGAGAGAATATAACAGGAAAGAAAGCAATGTTTTTCGACTTATGAAAGAGAATAAGAGGAAAATTAAATTGTGTTCTTCACGTAGAGTTAAAATAATGATTTGCGGTTTATTTTATTTGTATGAAATTCTGTTGCGTCTAACGCAATTTGCTTTGTTCGTACAGTATTCTTTGAAATAATAATCTACGTGACACCAGAAACCGCAGGAGATCGTGTGTGACTTTACGCGACGTACATTATTGTCATGATATCCGATATGCAAATGTGCGACATTAATCTGACTGCGGATTATGAAAATCCAACAATGTGTCTACGTAGAAATGCAAAATTTATCCGTGTAGCGATCAATGGACTTGCCAATGGCGATTTTGTTTGATTTCGATTGAACAATATTACAAATTCACTTTCGACAGCCGCGTTTCGTAAAAGTCATGCGACGTTATGCTAAATTGAGTAACGCAAGCGCAATATATTGCATGTAAATGCTAATGTGTTGCAACCACCAGTAAAAATGACAAGAAAGAAATTGTAAATCGTAACGTGGCATACCTTATACGAAAAGAATGATTTTGCTGAAGTATCTAAAAATTTAGCTACATATAAATCCATAATTGATTTTATTGGAATATGAAAATAATTATTTATAGGACGCTTAATTGATTGTTGGAATGTCAAAACTTACTAACTGGCCTTTTAAGAATGAATATAGATAATCCGCGAAACACGTAGCTTCTATAATGTCAAAACTTTTTGAATTACTCGTCATGCTTGAATTTCTTACACGATAAAATTTTGTTAAATTATTTTAATAGTTTAATAAAATTATTTTCAGATTTGTGTGTGGTTAAATTTTTATATACTTTAGCGAAACTGTTCTTTCCGTATGGAAATACCGTTTCCTCCGTGTTACGATACTTGATGCGTAAAAACGTAGCATGTTGCACAATGTCCATTAATAATAGATTAAATAATAAGAGATCGGGATGTGCTTTCAGATATCGGCTCCGGCCGAGCGACGATCTTGTGCAACCAGTAGAGAAAGGAGGAAGCCGAATCGAAGGAGCGATCGATGCAGGACTGATTGTCGACGGTTCCTTCGACACTTCGAGGTGCCTAATCGCTGTGAAACTGTCATATCATTCGCGAATGGTTTTCTGATAGAGGAAACGGCTCGATATAATTGTCTGGTCGCATCAGGAACACGGTTCAGTCTTTGTCGCGGATCCGAATAATGAAAACCTTTCGGAAGCTGGTAGCCATGGTGCTACTATTGCTAATTTATTTGGTAATATTTTGATAATGAATCTCAACCCTTTGTCGGTCATAGAAATCTTGCATCTTCCGTCAGATCCTGTGTCTTCGACCTTCAGTGTAGATTTTTGTATTATTCTTGTAGAAAAATTTTAAAAAGCTGTTATTTGTGCACTGTGAAAAAAGCTTTTGGTATTTGTAACTATAATTATATATATTACTATATAATTATTATTATGCTAATGTTATTTTGGTGCCAACTATATATATATATATAATACATACATATACATATATGTAATATATATATATATGTTTAAAATATGATAAAAATACACATATAATAGTTATTATTACTAACATTATAGCAGTAATAATCATAATTATATGGTATATTTAATTATAGCCACATATCAAAAATTTTTCTCTCAGTAAGAAAGCTTTAACAGCGAATTTTTATTATCACGGAAATAGCATTTTACTTATCTTTTAACAAATTTAAATTTGTCTATCAGAAATTTCACAATAAAAAAAATGTTTGACCAACGGAAGGTCGCCCTAACGATAAATGTGACGATATAAATGAAGAGAATAAAAATAACTATCCGAACTATCCGATATGGATTTGATTAATTTCGTAGCATGTTGTGACGTTTTGCAATGATAATGTACACGCTTTGCCACGAATGGTGAAATAAATAATTTGCAATAAATGAGCAAATGCAAGAGCTATCAGCGGCAAAGGTTAATTAGAACGGTGGGGTAGGAGTAGCGATAAAGTGATATAGTGCCGAATATTGTGAAATATATATAGGGGTCTTGTCTAAACTGACATTAATCTAATTAATGTGTGATATATTTAATACTAATAAATTTTATCATGTTTATGAGTAATTATTGTTTTTACCGCGAGCATAAATATACGATAATTAAAGAAAAAATAAAATGATTGTTTTTCAAACAAATCAAAACTTTATTGTGATTCATGAAGTAATGCTTGCAAGATGCGTTTGATTTACATAGATGTAAATTTTATCGATTTCTATTAGGTTACAAAAACTTCTCTGTTTTGCTACTAATTTTTACAAAACTATAAAATTATCTTACAGATTAACTTATCTATACTTTTTACAAACTTATATCTAATTTAATTTATTAAACAATACTAGCGTTTAATTTACATATTTACAATAAAGATTGCATAATCAATATCGATCTATGTGCAGTTAACATTACAAGTTGGCGACGCAGAACACAACCATATGAAAATTTCAAATGCCACAAGCGATCGCGAAATTATTTTGGAGGAAGTAATCATTGCCGGAAGTGGAAATAACACTCGCATAATTGCGAATGCAGTAGTAAAAGATGCACCGGAGCTCGACGATGAGGTACTCTCGCTTTTGTCTAAGCGCGAAATACAGGAGAGCGACAATTTGAAGCAGATATCATCAGATCAAGACGATCAAGATGCGGCACAATCGCAGGCTGCAGTCGTTAACGCAAATGAAGAAGATGAGCTGGAAATAATGAGTCATGTGATCGCGAAGTACGAACCGCAGAGACTCACAACGAGAAAGACTAAGAGAAAAATCATCGATGGCTCGAACGATACTCATGGTAAATGAAACAAAATTCCTTTTCTTCGACATTATATAGTAGAGAGTCTTGGCCATAAGTATAAAGCACCTTCAATTCATTGTTAAATTTAGTGTTGAATTTAGTGTCTTTTTATTAATAAACTTAAACTCCTAAACAGTTTCGATTCACATTAAACTATCTTCAGTGGGGAAAAACTTACAAGCTAGTATAAATGTAGTTCCGCATATTTAAATCCGTTTAAACTAATTTAATCCACGAGTAAAACATTTGGGAGTTTAAGTTTATTAATATTTAAATTTATTAATGTTTAAAATACTAAATTCTAATCTCGTGCACCAACGTCGTACCTGGCTCATTACGCCATTACTGTTATTTTTATAATATATTACTTTTTATAAAACCTATTTATAACAATTGCAATATTTTATTAGTATATATATGGGACGTTCCACGTCAACCGGATCACCTGCGTGTCCAAAAATCAGCGCAATGAAAATAAGCGTTCAAGGTCTTAAATTATTCGTATGTGCATATTTCGAAAGAAATGTGCTGTTTTGAGAGATCCAATATGGCGGATCCAATATGGCGCCGAGAAGCGATGAACATCGCAAGCAAATGTAACATTTTCTTGCTTAAACTATTGTACTGATCCCCAATTGGCTTGAAAATAATTACTTCTAGGTTTTTCAGAGTTGCTGATTGCGAATATGCTGGCAAAATTTCGAAATTCAAAATAGTAGATCTAATATGGCGACCAGTGTACGAAACCTTGAGACCTATACTCTTAGATCTTCAACCTCTTTTAATTTCCTAAGCTTTTTAATCCCGAGCGTGAAGGGGTAAACTATTTTAGGTCTTAGAACAAAGTTAGTCTTAGAACAAAAAATATTTCATCACTAGTTATCACCACTGATTGATTTTTAAATGCATGTTCAAAAATCAATCATCATCCGCTAAAAACTAGTGATGAAATATTTTTGAATAATTTGAGACCTTGAATGCTTATTTTCATTACGCTGATTTTTGGACACGCAGGTGATCCGGTTGACGTGGAACGTCCCATATATATGTATGTATGTATATTTGTTTCTTAGATGTTCACGATAAGATCGAGGGGTCGATAACAGATATCGAGAGGATTTACGCCGAAATGTTGAAAAATATCTCGCGGAAAGCTCCCGAAATGACAGTAAATAATGCCAATGTAGCGTTAAATCCCTATTTATCTTTGGCAAGAAAGCAACTGAAGCAAATTTATATTCCGAAGGTAACAATCCCTTCTGTGACTAACGACAGAGCGGAGAAATCACATTCCGATGTTGAGCCTACTTTTACATTACCTACTTTAAACAGCAAGAAGAAAAGATTACTTAAGAAATATTTGCAATTAAATCGCACCGCAACAACTCCACAAGTCTCAGTCGAAGAATCAAATTTCAACGAGGAATCTGCTAGTAGTAAACCAAGCACGCCTACGGGATATTTCAAGGTTCCCAATAGAAAAACGAAGGTAAAGAACGGGTTATTATCTGTACCAACGTCAAACGTTTATTCTGGTTCAACGAAGAATCTTACAAATCGTCATGAATGGGATGTTAAAGACTCTTCAATTCAAATTGTATCTCCATTTACTTCACGATTAAATAACAGTAACATTATTAATGTAAATAATTTAAAAAATTTGAATGTTTCCAATTATGCGAATGCTGATCAATTACTGACAAAGTACAACATAGTGCCAAGACCATTTTCCATATTACCATCGTCCAATTCACTTGTTACCACGAACATTGATGCATCACATAGAAAACCGAGCGTTTCGCCAATGAATTTCTATCATCAACAACAGACTGCTCGTTCTTCTGCAAACATTCTTCCATTGGTTCTTCCAACAGATCTATTTAATCCGCTTGCGACACGCCGTTATATCCCAATAAAGCGTACGAATCATCTCAATCTTGAAGGAAATTCAGCAACAATTGTTAGCACTGAAGCAAGTTTGCCAACGAGTCTTACAAGGAAAAAAACTACCCTTATAGATAACAACGCTTTTTATACAGATGTAATTGATACTACGAGGAGTCCTTTGGTCAATGATGAGAAATCGAGTTTAAATGAAAACCCTGAAATCGCGTCATATAACAAATTCGCAAGCTTGTATTCAGCTAACATTCCTAATGTACTCAATACGCCAAAAGTAATTACTCAAAACTTTAAACAGCTAGAGCAGCCGTCGCAACAGCAAGTTTCCACTCTTCCTGATGCAACTTTAAAACCTCTTACTTCTACTTTGTTGAAAATCCAACCAATTGCTACCTCTAAACCTGCACCATATTACGATAGCAGATCATTCATTTTGCAAGACGGAAAGTATAAGAAGAACAGCGATGAAAACGTCGGAACGAATGAGCAGTCTCGCGTTGAAGACATTGATGTGACTAAAAAAGAAGATGATGTTGAAAATTATAAAACTCAAGTCAATGAAGAAGCTTATAAAGTTTATAAGAAGCCGTATAAACTGAGCGAGAAAAAAGATCGCGAAGAAGAAGAGGAAGATCGTTATCCACAGCAAAGCCGTAATTATCAAGACAAACATTATGAATATGATGAAAATGATAGAAATAGTAAAAATGATGATAGACACGAAAAATATGAGAATGTTCGGCGTGAGAATAACGACGATGGAGAGGAAGATGAAACGGAAAAGGAAGAATATGATGGCAACATTGACAAAAGTAAAGATGAAGATAATGACGATAATCGTCGTCAATACAATAAGTACAGATATGATAGAGATAATTCTGATGAGAAACAACGTGAAAATCCACGCCATGAGAAATACAACAAACCAAAAAATCGTCGCGATAAGCATGATGATGTTGAGCATCGATTTGAAGACAAGAGTAAGTATTTTGAATCACTATATAATGATGATGAAACTCGTGAGCAGGATAAAGAATATCGCTCAGATCAAAAGAAATTAATAGGCGACAACCAATATAAGAAGGATCGACAAGATCGCAAGTATAAAGAATTTGAAGATTATAGCATTATCAAAAACAAACCGTTTGCTCAACGTTCTAAAGATCTACGTGCTTATAAACAAGACGAAAAATACGAAGAGGAACAAAGCAATGACGATGATAAGCGCAAAAATCATAATTATCATGCTTCTCCACGAAGAGACTCGCTTCGCGAAGAGCATCTGAGCGAAAAATATAGTGAATCTAATCCTGCACACATACACGAGGAATATCATCATCAAAGAGTCAAAGATGATCATCGTGATCATCGTAAACACGATAGTGAAGATCAGGACAATGGCAAAGAAGAAGCGCGTGATCATGTGCACGGTGAGACTCAGGAACACGCAGAAACTCATAAACAAGAAGAGCATAATGGAAAGAAGGAAGATAGAGAAAATTACAAGTTTGAAAAAGGTGGCGGTGCAGAAAATGAAGAAGAACACCATGGGCATGAGGGAGAAAAAGGCGACAAGGTAAATTATTTTTTAAACATCGCGTTTGTTTATCAAACTTTATTTACATTTAAAAGAAATAACCGTGGAAATTATATGCAAGATCTGTATTATCCCAGGTAGCAACACTGAAAAAAGAAATGTTTAATTTTAAGATATTAACATGTTTTATTCTTAACTTCATTTTTTAAACTAAAACATCTTTAAGTGTTTAAAAAATAGGGACAAGAATAAAACACACTTCTTTTTACAGTGAAGTTGTAATCACTTTGACATCAATAGTTAATCTCATTTTAGATTATTAATGTTATGTTATCTATTTAAAATATATATCTAATAATGACGATCATCTTTTTGACCAATTAATAACGTCATTCATTTATTTATTCTGCTATATATTTACGTCATATTTGTTGACGTCGGATAAATGACCAATCAATAACGTATTAGTGATGTTATTAATAATTAATTTAAAAATGTCGTTAATTTATGCCGTTAATAACACAAAAATAAATGAAATATTTTCAACAAAACATAGGTTTATATAACGCGGCTATGATAAATTCATATTATATATATTTAGAACGATAGGATTAGTTTATAGAGTATAATAATTTTATAGTTTAACAATTAATAATTGTAATTAATGCTCTGACGAATATAAATTCAATATATATGTAATTTCCGACTATAAGAGCCAAAAGCAAGTTGATAAACGCTAATTATTATTTAACATCCATACATATAAAATACATAATCAAATCAAATACGATAAAGAAAGCCACGATCGGTCAAAGTTAGATGTTTCGAATAATACATTATATATTCTTCATTAAATCAATTTATTCCAGATATGATTTACTCGCCGATACTTTCGGACTTTCAACACAATCATTTTGAAACGCTAATAATCCTCCCTAAATAGATTAGAAAGATAGAAAGAAATATAATCAAATGTTTCAATCTTGAATATGGTCCTCATCAGTGAATATACTATAATACTTAAACGTTATATTACTCATGTTATCCTAATATCTTTAAAAATCACAGTTGATAGTGTACATATGATACATCAAGCTTTTTAGACACAAGATTGTTCCTTTATAGTTATTGTTATACAGAATAATAAGTAACAAGAACATCTCGCTAAATATATATGTTTTATCCTTTGATTATGCTAACATTATCCTGATCATTCGTATTTTTTTCTCCCGATAGAATCAGCAAATTTACTGATGATTCTATTTTCAAAAGATTGTAAAATTGAGCAACACACTTTTTCAGGATTGGTTTAATTTTCACTCTTTAGAGTGAAATTTCACTCCAACGAATTTAGAATGTATAATTGCTACCACTATGTTTTTGTCTGTGAATATAATATTTTGGCAATATAATTTTAATAATGATTTTCTGTTTATACCCGTTCGCAGGGGTATAAAGTCTGGCATGAGCACGAGAAGGCTGAGAAAGGACATCACAATAAGGAGCATGACAGCAAACACTATGATGAAAAAGACGGCGAGGAGAAGAAACATGAGGAAGACGGTGGATATCACGAGGAACATCAGCATGGTGAAGGGGGCAAGAAAACAGCTGAATTTGGCGAAAAAGGTGAACACAAGAAAGGTCACAGCACTCATGGGGAACATTCCGTACATAAAAAGGTAATATGTACTATACATAAATTAAGTTCTTTTTTATTCAAATAGAACCCTAACATTTTTTTTAGAATTCTTTATATAATATAATTTTTCAGAATTTCTGGAAATTATACAAAATTTTTGTATAATTTTATATGTTTTTAAAAAATTTCTTTGATTTTTTAAACAAATTGGAACATTTTTCAGAAGTATTATAAGAAAGTCTATACTTATCTCTTTTTTAGAATTAAAAAAAATTTTTTAAGAGGTTTCTAAAACTTCTTATTCTATACTTTCTGAAAAAAACTTATAAAATCTGAAAAATTTAAGATATTTCTTTCGGAAATTTTTATAAAATTAAAATTCTTTAAATTCTCTAAAAATTTGTAATATATTATGAGAATTTTTTTCATCAGGAAAACGTTGCGATTATGGAATTTTTTCATTACTGTTAATTTTGTAGGACGAATACGAAAAGAAGACAGAGTTCTTTGATGAGTTTAACGAAGATGGTGGCGTAGAGAAGCACGGCGAACACCATCACGATCATGAATCGAAGAAGGGCGGTCACGTGAAGAAGGGCCATCACGACAGCGCGAATCACGAGGAAAAATATAGTAAGGAGGGGAAGCATGAGAAAGGCGGTCATCATCACGAGCACAAGGGCCATAAAGTCGACGAAGGTCATGACCATCATTACGATCACCATCATAAGCATGGTAAGAAGGAGGGACATGTGCACGGGAAAAAGTGGAGCTCCAAGAAAGGCGATGGTGATGACCATAAGCATAATCGCTGAAGCGAAAGATGAGAGTAGTAATTTTGCAATTATAGTGATCGTTATGTACCATACTTTAAGTCTATTTTTATAGCTAAACTAGTATATATATTTAAAGTGAAATAAGAGTGAGTCATAAGTATGTTTTAAAGTTTCATGAACATATTCCGATCATAAAATTATAAAATATACTTATAGATTCATCCTGTATGTTTGAAATTTGGCGAAAGCAAGAAGGAAAGTTCTAGTGCAGTTTATAGTGATAGAAAACATATCTTTTGATATTGCGAATTTGGAATAGATCAATGTTGCGTTGATCAATGTCAACGTCGCGCGCGTGATCGCGTATAATTGAAATGCTATATATATTACTTTACTAAGCGGTTGTTGTCGTCCGCCTGCGGTTGTTGTTACCTATATTGAACACCTACGATTGAGATATATGATATGCACTTTAGCTTACACTGTTATATATCTAGCTTCAGTTAAGCAAGCGTGAATAATTGAAATGTCATACTGACTGTTAATTTAGGCGGAAATAACCGATTGACCTCTGTATTGAATTTCCTGCAAACCTGTAAAACTCGTATTGTGGATAAATTTTTCTTATTCAATGAAAATTTATCGTACGTTACTTGAGCGTCTCACAATGTATTAGAATAAAAGCTGAGAGGAAAATTCGAAAGGCAATTAACTATCTAGCAGATATAAGATGTTGAATATTAAAGGGTCGATTTCACCAACGCCGGTTATTTGATCGGCCGATTAACTTCGTCAGAATACCAACAGCAAAACTTTAAAATTTGTCTTAATTAATTCTATTTTCTAACTTATTCATGGTAAGGAAAAAATATAACGTGGGTAATAAATTAGAAATATAAATACATTTCGAGTATTTTTACGAATTATACATATTTTGTAACAGATTTATTATTAAGAAATTATGTTAGAGTTAATAAGTTTTCAGTTTAGCAGTTGGCAACTCTTAAATTTAATCGGCGGATCAAGTAACTGCAAGCGTTGATGAAACCGGTCCTTACTACATTATTTGTTAATTTTGTTTTATCTGTTATCATCAAGTTTCCCAATATTAATATTTTCATATTAATAAAACATATTAATAAAACATGTTTCATTAAAAAATTACAATTTTCACTTAAAAACATCAAACTTCATAAAATCGAATTTGCTAAATTTGCTAAGAACACATCAAACTCTTTAGAATTAATTTTTAATTATTCGAGCTCATCTTATAAACATACCTTGATCGTTGATGAAATGATATTCCGGTAATGAAATATTCAATAAATATTGCGTTTCATTGATCACTCTCAATTAGAGAGTAATGCAATTAATTAGGAAGCAATATTTCCTTATTGAGCGCAATTGAAGGCGCTAATGATGAAGTTTACTGAAACTGGAGTTTCTGCATTACTTCTATTAACTCCTTGTCTTGTCATTTATGTTTTGCCATAAACGTGAGAATAACTCCGTTTTACATCACGTTAAAAGGATTAATATTCACATGGGGATACAACACGATAATAGATGGCAGAACAGTGTCATTTACGTCTTTTAAGATCCTTCGATGTGAGGAAAAGTTAAAAAATTTCTTTCTCCGGGCGCCTGTGAGAATTCTCTCAAGTGGTCATTTAACAAGAATGATCGTAAGGATTAATTACACAAGAGAGATGCACCATTCTCGAGCGCCTTACTCTTCCCTCTCCTGTTCTGTTGCATCGATAATACGCTCTTTCATCTTTGTTGCCTCTGATTGTGAGTACACGTATCGATCGGTCGCATGATATTCAGCCGAGAATCGTAGGAGGGACTTTAGAGAAAGAATCATGGATGCAAATGACAGATGATTTACGACCCGCACTTTAGAAAAGTTATCGGTCTCTGGCAATCGCGATAAAAGATTTCAAGTGAAATCAGGTTAATATAGGAGCATCACTCATGATCGAGATGCCGGGCATCGAGTTGTCGGAACGTTTAATGCATAATGACACTGTCCGATGTTTAATCCATGTGTGAATCGACTAGCAGCTTTGATTCATCTGTTCTCTCATTATTGTCGCACGCTATCGGAACGATATTCATGCTTTTACGAGAATAATAGAACTATTAAAAGCAAAATGTGACTTTTTATTTTTTTCCCTTCTTTATTCTTATCGTATTATATATAATATTATATGTATGTATATGAACACTTCGCGCATGTAGGATGAAATGCGTCCGGTAAATTCGAATAAAGAACAAGTTAAATGCAAATGGAGAGAATTTTTTTTTAATTCATCCTGAAAATATGGTAGTTATGGTACAATATACCTAATATTATATTTTAAAGATTTTTACCATGCACTTCTGTAAAATTAATCAAACTTATTTTATATTTTATTATAGTTTTATTAATGAATGAGAGAAATTTATGTAAAATTCTTCGAAATACAATGTTGTCCCAGGACTACCATATCTTCAGGGTAAATTTGAAGAAAAAATTCTCTCCTTACACTTACCCATAATAACGCTGCAATTTATATTTTTATATTGAAAAACAGAACAGAACGAATAGGTAAAAACACGTTCCTGAGAACATTAAGTTTCGCATTAAGTTTCCGGCATTTTTTATTCTTGTGTGATATTTCTTATTGCAGAAATTATTCGTGTCTCTGTCTTTGAAGTAATAATTTGAGATTAATGATATATTATAGATTCTTAAGAAATGAAAAGATAAAAATAAGATGTTTTTTATGCGTTTTATTTGCGTTATTTTATGCGTGTCATTTAATTACGGATGTCTTCAAAAGAAATATTGCGCATCGATAATTATGCGTGGTTTTGGTATAAAAATCCATTAGCTTAGGTGTCATTCTCATCTTTTCCATAAATTAACTTTTACACGAGGCGCATTCCTTCTGACGTAATCAACTAACATTAATTAAATTTTATATTTATAACTTTTTGATAGGAGCAAATGTTCGTGACATTTCCCTCGATCGATATAAATGCCCAAATGATTGAATTAATAAGAAAAAAATATGATTATATATTCTCTATTATTATTAATTGTAAAACGTCAGGAATGAGCTAATGAGAATGCAAATGTTGTGCAATATAGTGTGTATATAAAAATATTCTTCATATTTGATTTACTTGATGTCGATCATGTACTATATATATATATATATATGTATATATATATATAGGGAGAATCTACCCGGGATCAAATATAGGACCCTGAGAGAAACCAAAGGTCTTTTGAAAGGCGAGGTGTCGATCAAAACAGAGGAACGGCCCTTTATCAATTTTTTAATGATTTTTTTAATTTCGAGAACGGACACGAGTCGAGCGTCGTTTCTTGAAAAGAAACGTTGGTAAAACTACCAACAGAGAGAACTTTGACACCTCGTAAGGTTCGAAAGAATCCGTTCTTTTCGCGCTTAAAATTCTCGCGTATTATCAAATAAGATGCGATTTCCAGTCTCATGCAACTTGTCATTAGCGCATAAATATGCAAATACACCGCTTGCGTGAATTTTCATCTTTTCTCGTGGAACATTTTCAGTCTTTTCGCAGGCGGGAACTTTTACGATAGTGCAGCACAACGAAGAGTCTGGCAAACGAATGGACAACGAGTCCGCACATTTGTTTACGAGATTTGATTTAGCAGGAAATCTCACGAAAATTCTTTGTCACACGCATAACGGCGGATAACTCATAAATACTTAAACACATCACCGTCGGATTTAGCACCGAGTTATTTCCCTTCGTACGATCAGTGCGAGTTTATGTGGCAAATTTTCGTCCAGCGAAGAATCCGGCGTACACATGTCACTTACAGAAAATGTGACATTGTAATTATAAATTATAGGGATGATGCTGTGTGTCAAAAGAAAAGTTGTAAATCAAAAGCGAGGAAAATGGATCTTTGCAAGATAAAACTGCAATACTCGAAGCAACGAACGTAATCTGATAAGAATATAATTTACCATTTTATTTGAAACTTTATAATACATGGAGGCATCAACTTACTTGCGCGATGATATTCTATAATAATCTTTTTATCACTCGAGTAGTCATATATTTTCTCGTGACAGTGAAACATTCAATGTGTCACGTAATAGCTTTTGCGATTTTGCGATAATATTATTTTATGCGAATTTTATGTGAAAAAATCATATGGCTTTGTAGCATATACGAGAGAATTAATAATTTGTATTATTATTATATATATAATTAATATTATTATAAATTATTCATAGTTCTTTTAAAGGATAATTTTTTATGACTGTCCTTATTAGAAATAATTCCTTTATATAGTATTTCTGTTGGAGAATTGTGCGAAATTAATATTAAAGTTTATTTGCCATCTTGCAGGTGATTCGCAAACGATGGTACGATCCGCGATTACCATCCTTTTACCTCAAAGAATTTAGTTTGCCATTGTAACTGGGCGATGTGGGGACCGCTCGTTGCGTCATGCATTGTCCCGTCTCAGCATAAATCTGTCTTTACGCATATACGCGTGTCGCGACGCCTCACCTCGTGAGCACGAGGAGGGATGGCACACGATTCACGGAGGGTGAGAAAGATGGGGGCCTTCATACGCATAGGGGCGCCGACGCGTGCACACACACACACACACATACACACACACACACGTATAAAGGCCGGCGTCGCGACGCTCTCGCCATCATTTCCGGGCGCAGACACCGTAGTAGCGGTATTCTGAGTCGGACGTCGTCCGGTGACTCACAGTGAGGAAGTTAAACTGTCGCAATCGCGTGAGAACGAAGGACCGTTTGTCCGCGAATGAAAGTTTCATCCCCTGACAACAAGAAACACGACAGGATATTTCCTGTCTTTTAACAGTCCAAGAACGTACCTCGTGTGTCAGTCTTGTCTTTCACCTGCAGGATCGCAAGATCGCTCCGACAGAATCTGACAGCAACAGGTGAGCAATCCATCTTTTGAGATGCATCCTTTTTTAATTATCCTTTTTTTTATGTTCTTATCTTCCTTCCCATTTTAAGT